GCCGTCCCTTCCCTGGGACCGTGTCGGGGGCACCTGGCAGATTTTTTATTAAATCGATCCCTCTTCTTTGTCGCCTCCTTACAGCCCTTGGATATGTCCTCATAGACTCCAGTTCTCTTATTTCACATTTATTCTTATGCATTTTGGTTTTAGAAAAGTCTGACCCGCACCTTCTGTTTTGGGTAAGCTTCTTGGGGAAAGTTTTCAGTGTGTCCTCGCGGCTGGTCTCCCTGCCCCCGCCCCCAGTCACTCTCTTCCCTCTGCTTCGTTTTTGTTTGTTTGTTTGTTTTTTCCTTTGTTTGGGTTACAGTGAGTCCATTCCAAATACCAAATATTTTTAAGCTGTGAGGGACAGCGGTGCCAGGAGCAGACAGCCTGTTCCCACAGCATCCTGTGTTTCTCCTCTCTTCTGTGACCAGCAGGCTTTGACTGGAACTTGGTGTTCAAATGGGATTACATGACGCCTGAGCAGAGACGGTCCCGGCAGGGGAACCCGGTCGCCCCCATAAAGTAAGTGGCAGGCAGGCGTCCTTCGGGTGCCCTTCTCTGGGGTGGAAGATGAGAGAGCAGGCCCCATGTTCCCTAGGGACCTAGTCGAGCTCTCACCTTCCAGCCACACCCCCGTTTCCCCTCGTGCTAGCTCAGGGGAGAGTCTCTGCCTCCAGATTATAGGGTAAAGTATTTTGAGATTTTTTTCTATGTACGTGTGTCAAATCTGCCAGTTCCACGTCCTTCGTGTCTTGGTGGCATAGAGCGTTTTCCCGCACAGGGTGGGGTGTTGGGCTGTCCTCGGGGACTGGGGAGGCGGTGGGCAGCAAGTGGGAGCCTCCTGCCCGCCCCCGGTGGGCTCCGCCTTCCTGTCCCCCGGAGGAAGCACTGGGTTCACTACCAGCTGGCTTTGAGCCGCGCCCGGCTGGGGTGGGGACACCTCCCCAGGGACGCGTGGTTACGGGGAACCCTGCGGACACCGCTGCCGTCTGCACTGCGGCGATTGTCCCCCGTCAGCAGTGAGCTCCAGACGTGCGGCCCGGGACCCTGACTTATCATGGCAACTCCGCAGGCACAGGGCTGGGGTCCTGTCACTGGCCTGTCCCCAGGCTGATGGGGATGCGAGAAGATGACAGTCCCGTCCAACAGAGGAGGAAGCTGCCCCGGGATGAGATTAAGGACACGGGTAGCTGCCATCATCGAGCGTTCCCTACGTGCGCTGGGCGCTTTAGCCTCTTTCTGTTTGTCATCCTCCAAGGAAACCGCGGCACAGAAAAGCCGAGCACCGGCCTAGGGCGCTGTCAGCGAGTGTCCCAGCCCCAGCGGCTGCTCTCTCGTAGGGAGGCTCCGCGCAGCCCCTCGCTCTTGGGAGCATCTGAGCATCCGCGTGGGGGGCACTTGAAGACAGCAGGGGTCAAGCAGAGAGGGGCACCCAGAGCTCTGAGCCAAAGACCATGGCTGTGCTATTGTTCTTAAGGTCGGCCTGTAGGCTTGACCTTGGCGTTAGAATGCTGGCGATCTAACCTTGACCGTCGACCTCTCCCTCTCTTCCCTTCTACCCTCTCTGCCTCTTTAGAACCCCTATGATTGCTGGAGGGTTGTTCGTGATGGATAAGTTCTATTTTGAAGAACTGGGGAAATATGACATGATGATGGATGTGTGGGGAGGAGAAAACCTGGGTACGTATGAGCCTTGTGTCTTCGGGCACCAAACCATTTCCAATTCTGCTGAAACCGTGGTCTTTTCCTGCCCACCAAGAGGGGTAGAAATGAAAAGTGGAAGCTTTGGAGGGACTGTTAAGCAGGAGTTTGTGGTATGCAGGTGCCACTTGGAAAAGGTTTGTAAAGACATTGAAATGACCGTTTACTGAACATAATTAGTCTCTTGGGCATTATGCTAGATACATATTAAGTCTTTGAAGGAAAATGCACACTTTTTAATGTCATCTGAATCCAAGGTCTGGAAAGCAAGCTGACAAAAATGGGGGGAGTATTTCAGGTTGTAAGATTCATTTTTAGCCACATAGGGTGGAAAGTGGGCCCTGGCGAAGCCTGTCGGACTGGCTGAATTGTAGTCATGGGAATCAGATGGGGTGGAGAGGCCGTGGCACTTCGTCCCTTCTTGACTACTTTGTGAATGGTTCTAATTTGTTTCCGTGTTGTTTTGTTTCGTTTTGTTTTTTGTAATAACGCATACAAATCATTTTACCTATGTTTAGGGACATTGAAATTTTATAGACTTCGGTCTTTATTGGTAGCTGCATTGTATTTACTCCATAAAGATAAAAAGACTCTTAATTTATTTGTTTGTTTAGGGGTTTTTGTTTGTTTCACTTGAAGCTTTTGAGCTGTCTCCTTGGCTATTGGATGCTGTTAAATTACATTCTCCCCTGGGTAGACGTACCCTGGGAGGAGGGGAGGGGGGCGAGGAAAGGAGGTAAAAAGGATACCACTGTCACTTTTAGTAGTTTTTACTTGTAACAGAGACTTTGATTTTTTTTTAAGTGTAAGAGACTAGGCAAGCCCATTGTTGTTCTCTCATTTTATGATATCGGTGTTAGTGATAGCATCTCATCTGTGGAGAGAGGTTGTTGCCCTTGTTGATTCTGAAAGCTTCTTTACACTCAGTAACTACACCAGGGTGAAGGTTCAGAGTCAGATGCCTTTCGGTTTTGTTAACCGTACACTGACGGGCAGGGCTTGATTGAAGGCAGTGGAGCACGTAAGGCTTCAGAAGGATTGTTAACCTTCTGAAGGGAATTCTGAGTCACCCTCACCCTGCAGACATCCCTGGGGAAGCCCAGCCAGCCAGGACCACCACTCGGGGGGACCAAAACGCAGTGGGGTTTGCAGCAGTGTGTGCCTTTAGGCTTACGTGGTTGGAGGGCAGGTGGCCTTTTGTGTCAGGGTGTAGAGAGAGTGTTGATTTAAATATCAAAGGAGACCTTGCACCCAGAGACCAGCGGGAGGGGAAATAATCTTTTCTGTTACCTAGTTTCTTGTTGGTTTGGTTTGTATGTTTATGTAGCTGTGCCCTGTGCGAGGTTCCCTGGAAGGGCTCAAGGGGCTCAGGTAGGGTGACAGCACGGTGGGCGGGGAGGAAGGGCTGGGGCCACCCGGCCTGAGCATCCTGGCACCTCCTCCCTTGACAGGCTCTGACACGGCCGCTCTGGAGGGTCTTCTCTCATCAGGGTTAAACAGGCACAAGGGTTTCAGCAGGA